TGGCTAGGAAGTTTCTGGGCAAAGGCACAGAATGCCTGGCTGCTGGGAAACTTCCATGGACAAGACATGGGCTGCCTGGCCACAGTAGTAATGTTCTTCACGAGGAAGCTCTGTGTTAAGAGTTTTATCAGTTTTGACCTTGATCTCGGGCACATAACTCCTGGGAATAAAGGAACTTGCTCGCTAGATAATTACAATGTTTCACCAAGCTCTGATGCTCCTGAATTTGCCTGCTTGACAGTAACTTTAGACAATGTGCAAAGCTCCTGATGTTGCATGTTGTAGCTGTGAAATGTAACTGCAGAATAAGCAACCTGATACTCCAAACAATAATGTTGTTATGGTACTAAAGACCTAATGTAACCTATTGTTATAAATAAAATTGGCCGCTTGGACAAGCAGCTACTTTCCTGCCTCTGTACCTTGTCTCTGTGTCTMCCCTGATTATTATTCCTTATATGTTCTGTCCTGCATTATGAGCATACATCTATTGAGCTCTTGAAATATGGATAGTAGAATGAGGTTCTGAATGTTTCATTTTATTTATATTAATTTAAACACAAATGCCATGTAGTGGTTTATATCTTGGATGGCAAGGACTTGGAGTCCATATATGAGGAAGACACAACCTCCTTTGCCATGGTGTTCCCTTACAGATTTGTTGGCAAGCCTGAATTTATCACTTGTAAAACCCCCAGAACACATGCACAAAGGTCAGGCAAACTGTGAAGCCCTGGGGAAACTATAGGATGAAGTGAACATCCAGGCCTGCACATCTTATCTAGAAGCAGTAAGAGGGGTGGGAAGAAAAATGGCAACAAGATGCTGTCTTCAGGAGCCTACCCTCATTCTGCTGGATCAGAGCTTGGGCAGGCCAATGTCTAAGTTTGGGGCACAAAAGGTAGAACAAGTTGAGGATGGAATCTTCCCACATCTGAGTGAGATTTCCAGTGTGGGGAGTTTTTGTTAGATACTCATGAGAACTAAGATGTACAGCTAAGATCTGAGCTCATGGTGTAAGGGGGGTCCGGCGGAACGTCGGAGGGAGAGACCACACACAAGAGACTTACTCCATGCAATTGGCAAAAGGGGATTTTTTGGGGATCCATTCCAGCGCGCTGGGACTCTGTGCCCACTCAAGAAGGGAGCGCAGCTCAGAGCCCAGAGCAAAGGTCAAGCAGAGCTTAAGTACACTTTTTGGGGAGGGCGGGAGKCTTTGCATACATCAGAACAAATCATCATGAKGCGCGGGGAAATTGAACAACAACTCTGAGACRTGATTGGCACATTCATTGGCGGGCGAGGGTGATTGGTCATTCGTAAGCGGGTTACACATTCAAACTGATTTGTTCGGGCCCTGTGAGGAACTGCACAGGGCCCTAGGCTAAATGGCCAGTAGGGTGTTTAACTATCTCAGGAATCTGGGTGTAACAGAGGAACTTAATAATACCTAATCTTTTACATTCAAGCTTTCCAGCTTAGAAACTTTACCCTTTCAATGGATGGGCAGGAATGAAGACGACAGAGGCTCTTTCCTTTTAGTGACCAAGTACCAGGATATCTCTACATAGGAATGGAAGGACATAGATAGTATTTGGGGCTGACCATGCTAAGGCATGTCAGAGATACTCTGAAAGTAGATGTCCTCTTTACCAAACAAGAGAATGCCAAGGCTGACCCAGACTATACGATCAGCCCCCATCACTATGCTGAGCTCACCATGTACTGGAATCATGCCCTGCCCAAAGGACCTGCCACCAGAATGTGCAGCAGCTGCTTAATTGAGCAAAGTAAGATGCCCTCCAGTTTAAAAATGTTTCTGGGCTAGATTACRTTTGTTGTCTGTCTACATAATTTCTGATTTTCAGGAAACTCCCAGAAGCAATGAAAAGTGGAAACTGGTTGCTGTTTATCCCTATGGAACCTCTGTCTCAGAAACAGCCCTGATTCCAGCCCGCCCAACTTGGGCCACAAAAGTGGGCACTTGACTGCTTTACTCTGTCTCTAATCAATTTACATTGGTTTAACTGCCAAGGTCAGAGTCATGACTATGTTACACAGGGAGATACAGAAGGCATGGAATTCCTATCTCCAGGCTTTTAGGAAACAGGTAAACAGTGCTCACGTCACTCATAAGGGCCACATCTTGTCATTCCATTCAGAAAGGGCCTTCATATCCTTAGCTTGCTGACCTCATGATGTTGATCAGCAACCTTGAAATCTACCTCCCATCCCATGGTTTAATCTTCCTCCTGGAGCCCTAACTATTGTTCCTCTTCAGGTCCATCCAAGCTTTGCCACGCCCTCTCTCATTGGGCTTACTGGACAGCATTCCATGAATTCCTGGAGTTCCAGTGTTGGTAACAGAATTTTATTTCAAATTGCACAAAAAGAGATCACCTACAGAACCATTGGGCAACTCAGACTTAGAGATAAAAAGATTTTTAGGACAGTGTTGTCTTAAGCACACGGTTTCTGGGGTAAACAAGTGACCTGCTATTTATGAGAAAAATACCCAAACCCATGGTGTGATAAAGTTTATTAAAGTGAAATATTGCCACTGAAAGTATGCTGCAGAAGTAAATTCACTTAATAGTTTGGGTCACATTATTACTTTTGACTTAAACGAATACCTCAACTTGTTTCCTTACAAAGAACTTCAGAAGCAACCAAGAACTGTTTAAATCTTTATGTTCAGTGGGCATATTATGGAGTCTCTTGTCCCCAGGCTGCATTTATCCCTTCCCACTTTTCAATTGGAAAAAACCCAACCTCTTCTTGGTCTCTTAGAAAGGAAGCCACATGTCCACACTGATGCTCAGTCCCTCAAGCCAATACCTTATTTCTCTATACATGTTACAGTGTTTCTGGCCAGTACACAGAAACTGTGACCAGGATAATTGATTGTGAGATAGACTTTTCACATACACATTGCATTGCCTACTTTTAGCAATGTTATCTGAAGTTCAATATTAGGACTCCACTGCGAAACCTGCAGCAAATTTTCCTCGTGGGCTCCTCCTGCCTCATATTCCTATTTTTAGTGGGTGAACTACATGATTATACCAGGGGCTCACAGCAAATGAACTGCACTGCCCATTATTCCATTCCTAAGATGGATTATGGGAATGAATTGTAAGGCTTTTTCTAGGAAAAGTTTGTGAATAAGTATGAAGCATGAAGTACCATGGCCAATTAAATGCCATGAGGTGAGAGTGACAGATGAAATGTATCATAAATAATCATTACTAGTTCATTAACAGAGATTATGAAAGTTTTGTCAGTTTAGGGCCTTGTGATTGCACTCTTGGGTGTTGGGGTTATTTCATTAAAATACATGTGACTTTCATAGATCTCTACACATATACAGTTTATAATTTAAAAATCTCTATATACATTCATGTTGCAACAATGATGCAATATTCTTAAAAATTGAGAATATTGGCACTAGCATTGGGGGAATGTCTACTGAAAGGCACAAAAACTCAGTCACAGGGACACTCAGAATCACACCATATGGATGTACATAGAGTTGACTCCCACCCCCATGCACACATCCTCACACCACCTAAAGGGAACACAGACATTTTCCAGGGACTATAAAGAATGACTGCGTTTTTGTATCTGAACTATGAATTCCTACCACCCCTACTCCAAACCTCCATTCACAGCAGGAAGCTGGAATCAGTATGGCTCTGCCCACTAGTACCATCTTTCTTATCACCTAGATGATTTACCAGCAGGTAAGTGATTCCCTACTACATATGTTTTTTGGTTCATCTTGTATTCACCTGTAATTACAGAGAAGGAATCCCTGTGAGGATCAGGCCATGCTGGTCCCTGTGTGCACAGGCCTTCTATTCAATTGTTGATGTTAGAAAACCACAAGGGAAACAGTGGTTAATCCAAGGGAACGAAAGTCAAAACAAGAGTAGACCTCCTCCTGTCAAAAGGCACTAATTTTTCACAGGGGAAGGATGTGTCAGGTCTGTGGTGGTTGACAATTACAAAAGCCTTTTCCAAGGAGGAAAATATGCCTGCTGATGAAAAAGCTTGCTACTCCCCTGTTTGAAAAGATGTTATCATTTTTCAATGCTATTTTGAATCAGGTGGCAGTTGGTAACAAATATCCTCTATATTACACATGTTTATATTTTCACATATTAATTTAATTGATGTAGAAAAAAAATAAGAAGGCAGCACTTCTATCTCAGATGAAGTCAAGTGACCTTACCAGGTCATTCAGTGGGTTCTCCCTGTCATTGCTGTTACTTGCAAGTGACTACAATAAGTCCTCAGAAGAAACTAGGAGGACACAGAGTAACTGTTAGTATATTGATAGTGCTTCTTTTTTTTAAACATTTTTTTATTTGTTGATGGACCTTTATTTTATTTATTCATATGTGGTACTGACAATTGAACCCAGTGCCTCACACATGCTAGGTAAGTGTGCTACCACTGAGCCCCAATGCTGCTGCTTTTGAACTGTTCAGAAGCACTTACTTGATGTAGAATATATTGTTAACTGATCATTTTTATAATTTATGAAGAAAGATTTGAAATTATTGAAATCCCACTATTTATAAATACTACTAATTATATTTTTCCTCCTATTGTCTTTTTCTGTACAATACATATATATCCATTGTGTTAGTAGCTGACCATACTCACACTAGCCAACTGACAGTGGAACAGTTCATAGTATGTGGTGAGTGCTAGCACTTTAACCCAGCTGAGCAAGAGTCATGGACACAATGCAAGAGTCAGAGACACTGGGCTAACAGCTAAGATGTACTTTGAGTTCTTATTTGTCAGTGTCCCTTGTATGTGTGTTGTGAGGTGAGCATATTATTAAATATAATAGATATATCCCTGATTCTTATCTGTTACAAGCAAGGGACTGAGGAGGGACTCCAGCAGATGTTGCCCTTAACTGTCCTACTAGTTCCCTCTCAACTCTCAGAATCTGGGAGGTATGTGGGGCTCAGAACCATGTAGGCTATGTGTGCTTCACACTTAGTGCTATAGCAATGTCTGCTATATGTACCCATCTCCACCCAGAGATGTGAACACTGAAGCCACTTTATGATGATGGACTGTGTTTGGAATATCTGAAAGCTGTGACTCCCCCCAGGGGTATACACATGTGCTAGGGCTCCCTGGCCTCTATGGCTGAGTGATGAATGAAAGTTTGATAGCCCAGAGAATTAGCACTGGCTCCAGTGACTGGCTTTAAATTTTCCTCATTCTCTTACAATGTCAGGAACCTGGGTCATTCATCACTGCATCATCTCTATTTAAGGATGTAAACCTAAACCTCAGATTCTGCTATGGTGAGTACTGAATGAGTATATCGATTCATGTAATGTGTGCAGTGGTATGTTTTTTTTGTTTGTTTGTTAATTTTTTTCTATGCATGTGGAAACATATTGTCTGGGGAAATACACACACACACACACACACACACACACACACACACATACAAATTGAGAATCACTACACAAGGATTTACTCATAGATATCTCCCAATCCTCCTGCACACAAACTCACACCACCAAAATGATATAGCTCCTTGTGCAGTCTGTAGATGATTATCATAATTCTTCTCTGGGTTGAGTTTCCTTCACAAACCCTAATCCTCTTTCCAGAATATTCTGGCATCAGGATGGCTTGAGAAAACAGGCAAGAAARTCTTGCCTTTCTCAGCACTTAGATATTTGTTTAGTAATGCAATAAGTTGAGAATATGTAGTTTTTATTTGCTCCTGAGTCCATCTGCATTTAGGAATGTAGAACACTTTTAAGGATCACGTCATGCCACTTCCTGTTTACACAGAGCTTTTATTCACCATGGTGATGTGAGAAAGCTGGATATGAAACAGTGATCTAGGAAATGGCCACAAAATAAAGCCCAGATGGCACTTGCACAAAAGACATGATCTTTTCATGGAAGAATTCTCAAGTTTCTTTTGGTTGGCATGTACAAAATTTCTTATTAGCCAGAAAAGCATTTACTGAGGGAAATTCTCACTACCATGCAGTCTATAACGGAAGCCATCTTACATAAATGCCATCTGGAGTCAGGTGATAGTTGCTAATATACTGGTCATTGACATTCCTTAGCAAAGAAAATTGTTTAGGTCATCTGTATTGTACTTAATCAGATTTTTGTGTCTGAAGTTGACTGAAAAAAAAATTGTCTATAAGGAAACCTTACCTTGCTAATAGTTTGTGACTCCTCTTTTACCTTGGAACTTGCTAGATCCTCCACCAGGACCTCCACAGGAGCTAGAAGAACACAGAATGGACTGAGTACATTGGAGTGTGTTAAGGATGTCTCAAGGAACTTTCTTGGTATGGAGTAATGGTTGATTAACAACAGAGACTGAGTTTCTGCTGGAATGTGATCCTTACTGGGTGAAGGGAGGAAATAGAGTGGAATGGGAATGAACAGAGCCTTGGCTTTGTAGTGTACTATGACTAATCAATCCAAAATAGTTCACTTACAAATAGGTTCATGCTGAAATGCACTATATAATTAAATGTTGATGTCTTGTCATTCTTCCTATCTATTCTGAAAGCCATGTAACTCCTTACTTATCTCTAAATTTTGTGAAAATATTTGGCCTCTGTGCATCTACATCTGCTGGACTGCATTGATCATATATTTTTTTAATATTTATTTTTCAGTTTTTGGCGGACACATCTTTGTTTGTATGTGGTGCTGAGGATCGAACCCGGGCCGCACACATGCCAGGTGAGCGCGCTACCGCTTCAGCCACATCCCCAGCCCTGCATTGATCTTATATTTGATATGACTTAAAAGTTTTTTTCTGGTTAAATATACACAATTTAATCTTTTTTTAAAAAAATTGTCAATGAAACTTTATTTATCTATTTATTTATTTATATATGATGCTGAGAATCAAACCCAGTGCATTTTAATCACTTGAAACTATGAATATATTTTCAGTGGCATTGAGTCCTGAAAACTTTCTACATAATCAGCAGTAAAACAAAGATATCTACTTTCCTTATTGCTATTAATCACTGGAATGAAAATTCTAGTTGGAGCAATTAGAAAAGAACCATTTTAAAAAACATTCAATTCTGATGGGAGACAATGAGGTTATTTCTATTCACAAAGGACATGATACCATACATCAAAATTCCCAGAGACTCCATTAGACATCTCAGAACAGGTGACTAAATTTGACAAAGTTGCAGTGCAGAAGATCAAGGCAAAATCACTTTGTCAATATATATCAGCAAAAAATGACTTTAAGATAGGAACTTTATTTATGATAACATCTAAAATAATAACATATGTAGGAGTAAATTTAATTAGGAAAAGAAAACTATGTATATTTCCTGAAATTATTACTGAAAAAAAAGACAACCTTAGTAAATGTTAGTGAATGTGTGTTAGTGAATGGAAATATGTAATACAATTACAATGTCAATATCACAGAAAATTATTCTACAGAGATAGAAAATGTTTCTTAATATTTCAACATACTCTTTATGTAAAGAGAAGTCTAGAAATTAACATGGAATCCAGGCTGGGCATGGTGGCATGTGCTTGTAATACCAGAAACTCAGGAGGCTGAGGCAGGAGGATTTCGAGTTCAAAGCCAGCCTCAGCAGAAAGTGAGGCACTAAGCAACTCAGTGAGACCCTGTCTCTAAATAAAACACAAAAAGAGCTGGGGATGTGGCTCAGTGGTTGAGTGCTCCTCAGTTCAATCCTGAGTACCAAAAAAAGAAAAAGAAAGAAAGAAGTTAACATGGAATCTAAAGGGACTATTAATAGCCAAAGAAATTAACATGGAATCCAAAGGGACTATTAATAGCCATAGTAATCTTGAAAAAAAAATTTGGAGGACACAAAATTTCTAATTTCAACATTTACTGTAGAGCTACATTAATTCAAATAGTTGGTACTAACATAAGGATAGACACAGAAAGCAATGAGATAAATTTGAGAGTTGAGTACTAAATGGCCACATCTACAGATAGCTACTTTTTTTAATATTTATGTTTTAGTTGTAATTGGACAAAATATTTTAAATATTTAATTTTTATGTGGTGCTGAGGATTGAACCCAGGGCCTCGAACGTGCCAGACGAGCCACTATCCTACCACTGAGCCACTATCCTAGCCCCCAGACAACTAATTTTTAACAAGCCATTGAAATAGGGAAAGAACACTCTCTTCAACAAATAATAAAACAACTGGATTTCCACATGCAAAAAAATAAAGTTAGATCTTTACTTTATACTGTGTATGAAACTTAACTGCAAGTGGATCAAAAGCCTGAGTAGCTAAACTAAAACAGAAGATTCTGAAAAAAGGATTAATAGGGGTAATTCGTTGAGACCTTGAATTGTTTGATATGATACTAGATGCTTGAGCAGAAAAAGAAAAAGAATGGGATAAATTGGATTTCATTAAAATTAAAAACATTTTGGTCATTAGTAACAGAAAAGAAAGTGAAAAATTACCCATAGTACAGCTCCAGTAAGGGGTAAAAACAGGGCTAAATACACTTCCCAAGCCCATACACTAGCAAAAGAGGTGCACTAAAAAATACAAGATTTTATCATAAGATTATGTGGAACCCTTCACTCCTCCTTCCTCTTACCATCACATTAACAGGGATTCAATATAACAATGTGAATCATAACTAAGAGACAGAAATGTACAAACTCTGCTTAGAAAAGAGTGCTTGAGGAAACCTAAAACTTTGGGAGAAGTAAAGAAACAAAGCAACTAGAGAAAATGAATCCTTAGTCACCTACAACAACAGCAAAACAAACTTCCAGGCTTCTGGACAGATTTATTTAAAATCTCACACTTAAAGCTGAATCACCTCCATTCTGTAACCTGTTACTTCATATATGGATTTCAACCCCAAATTTTAAGGCATGGTAAAGACAAGGAAAAAAAAATGTAGGTTGAGAGTAAGCAAGTGTCAGAACCAGACTCACAAATAACACTGGTTTGGGAATTTTCAAACAGAAAATTGAAAATAATGATGTTAAGTTCTCTCTAGAAGATTACCAATGTAAGCTGTGAGAGAGAAGTTCTAAAAAAATCAAAAAGAGGAGGTAGAAATCAAATACACTGTTATGTAAATGAGGAATGACTCAAAGGGTCTCATCTGTACCCTAAACATAGATGAGGAAATAATAAGTGAGCTTAAAATATGTCAATGGAAAATTTTCAAATGACAAAGGAAAATAAAGTACAGAATATCTAAGAATAGTGGGGCAATCACAAAATATATACACAGTACACAAAATGTATGTATATTGGGAATAAGAGAAAAAAATAGTAAAAGGGGCAGGAGGAAAAAGGCAAATAAGAAATATTTCAGGGGGCTGGGGATGTGGCTCAAGCGGTAGCGCGCTCGCCTGGCATGCGTGCGGCCCGGGTTCGATCCTCCAGCACCACATAAAAACAAAGATGATGTGTCCGCCAATAACTAATAAATAAATATTTAAAAAAAAAAAAAAAAAAAAAAAAAAAAGAAATATTTCAGGTAATCACAGTTAAGGATTGTCCTACAACAGGGACAGACAACAACAACAACAGCAACAACAAAAAACAGTTACAGGAAGTTTGGGGAGTTAAGTAGGATAAATGCTAAAAAACAATCCGAAAAATCTTCACATAGGTATGTCATATTCAACTGCTGAAAACCAGAAAAGAGAAAATTTGAAATAAGAAAGTATACTTTCATGGAGCTGAAGTTGTGGCAGTAGTAGAGTGCTTGCCTAACATGCAAGAGACACTGGGTTCGATCCTCAGCACCACATAAATGTAAAATAAAGATATTGTGTCCATCTAAAACTTAAAAATAAATATTAAAAAAGAAAATRTGCTTTCATGTATAGAAGAAGCGATAAGAGTTATATCAGACTTATCATAAATGATGCAAGCAAGAAGAGAGTATGGATTAAAGTTTTTACAATATTAAAAGAAAAATACCTCTACACACCTAGAATTTGTTGTCCCATGAAATTGTGTTTCAGAAGGGAAGGAAAAGTGAAGACTTTCTTTTTTTTTTTCTGTATTTTTTTTTATTGGTTGTTCAAAACATTACAAAGCTCATGACATATCATCTTCTATACATTTGATTCAAGTGGGTTATGAACTCCCATTTTATACCCCAAATACAAGTTGCAGAATCACATCGGTTACACATCCACATTTTTACATAATACCATATTAGTGACTGTTGTATTCTGCTACCTTTCCTATCCCCTACTATCCCCCCTCCCCTTCCCTCTCATCTTCCCTCTCTACCCCATCTGCTGTTGTTTAATGCTCTCCCTTGTTTTTTTTCCCCTTTCCCCTCACAAACTCTTATATGTAATTTTGTGTAACAATGAGGGTCTCCTTCCTTTTCCATACAGTTTCCCTTCTCTCTCCCTTTCTCTCCCCCCACTCGTCTCTGTTTAATGTTAATCTTTTCCTCATGCTCTTCTTCCCTGTTCTGATCTTAGTTGCTCTCTTTATATCAAAGAAGACATTTGGCATTTGTTTTTTAAGGATTGGGTAGCTTCACTTAGCATAATCTGCTCTAATGCCATCCATTTCCCTGCAAAATCCATGATTTTGACGTTTTTTAGTGCTGCGTAATACTCCATTGTGTATAAATGCCAACAAATGGTGCTGGGAAAACTGGAAATCCATATGCAACAAAATGAAGCTGAACCCCTTTCTCTTGCCATGCACAAAAGTTAATTCAAAATGGATCAAGGAGCTAGATATCAAATCAGAGACTCTGCACCTGATAGAAGAAAAAGTTGGCTCCGATCTACATATTGTGGGGTTGGGCTCCAAATTCCTTAATAGGAYGCCCATAGCCCAATAGTTAAATACAAGAATAAACAAATGGGACTTACTTAAACTTAAAAAGTTTTTCTCAGCAAGAGAAACAGTAAGAGAGGTAAATAGGGAACCTACATCCTAGGAACAAATTTTTACTCCTCACACTTCAGATAGAGCCCTAATATCCAGAATATACAAAGAACTCAAAAAATTAAACAATAAGATAACAAACAACCCTATCAACAAATGGGCCAAGGACCCGAACAGACACTTCTCAGAGGAGGACATACAATCAATCAATAAGTACATGAAAAAATGCTCACCATCTCTAGCAGTCAGAGAAATGCAAATCAAAACCACCCTAAGATACCATCTCACTCCARTAAGATTGGCAGCCATTATGAAGTCAAGCAACAATAAGTGCTGGCGAGGATGTGGGGAAAAGGGTACACTTGTACATTGCTGGTGGGACTGCAAATTGGTGCGGCCAATATGGAAAGCAGTATGGAGATTCCTAGGAAARCTGGGAATGGAACCACCATTTGACCCAGCTATCRCCCTTCTCGGTCTATTCCCTGAGGACCTTAAAAGAGCATACTATAGGGATACTGCCACACCAATGATCATAGCAGCACAATTCACAATAGCTAGACTTTGGAATCAACCTAGATGCCCTTCAATAGATGAATGGATTAAAAAGTGAAGACTTTCTTAGGCCAAAATTAAAGAAATCTGCCACTGGTAGACATGCTTTATAAGAAAGTCTTTGGAGAGAAGGAAAATGTCATATTCAGTTAAGAACTACATTGGAAAAGGAATATCATCAGAGAAGGAATAAAAGCTTTAAAAAATACACTGTCTTTACTTTTCATCAAGTAAGAATACTT